TCATGTATCTGGAGCTGTCTCAGTGCATGGCGCCGAGGGCCCTGGAGCAGCAAGGAGCGGTCAGCCAGCCGTTCCTTGCCACGTGCAGCATTCTACAGGGCCTTCGGTCAGGCACGCGTTTCGCAAAATGTATGGCACACTTTGTCATGGCTAAGGTGTGCCAGCAGCATTCGCAGATATCCAGTCGCATTTGGATCGACGATCTTTCTCAAAGTCTGGCTGGATCGAGGGCTGCAGTACGAGATAGGCTCACGGCTTGCTTGGCCGACACTGCAGCCGAGCTAGCCTCGGTCAAGCTCAAGATCGCAGCCAAATATTGTGTCAATTGCTCGCACCATGGGGATGCTAAAGAAATAGTGCGTCGTCTGAGGAAGCGAGGATTGGTTGTGAGAGCGCAACTGCAGGCAGGCTTCCTGGGAGTGGACCAGGGTGGCGGTCGTCGCACTGCCCGTGAGGTTCGCACCAAACGAGGACTGAAGCAGCGGCGGCTTCATTCCAAAGTGATTCGTTTTGCGCGGGCTTCAAAAAGATATCACGTCACGGCTCGTCTGGAGAAGATAGGGGCGCAGGCCGCAGGCAATTTCGGTCAGTCTATCCATGGGACCTTCGGTCGACGTCTCCAACAATGTCGCAGAGATTTAGCCGCGGCGTCCTGTTCAGGGGGTAAAGGCATGTGTACCACCACTCTCTTGTCTATTCGTGGCGAATCGGCCGACCCTGGTATTCAGATGCCTCGTGAAGTTTTGAGTTTGTGGATGCATCAATGGTTTACTCAGGCGCAGATCCGGCCAGGAGTCTACCGTGCGTGGCCGCTGTTGGTCAAGAGATTCCAGAATACGCCACCATCTCATCGTTCACGGTGGGTCCGCGGTCCGCTGTCGGCCACCATCTTAACCTTGATTGAGCGCGGATGGGTACCCGAGTCACCGACATGTTGGCATTTTCGGACGATATTTCATGGCAATTTCCTGAGGCCGAGTACAACGCAGAGATGGCTCTCAACAATCTTAGTGGCTTCTTCGTCGATTTCGATTATTCTTCTGCTGTTGGATTCTGGGAACGCGCATCCAAGCATTTCTGTGGGGCTGGCTTGGAGCAGGGATCAGATCATTTCTCACTGCGGCTTCTGCTTCGGTACCTTCGTCGCCTACCACGTGGGCGGCGACTGGAGGAGCTTCTTGTCTCTATTGCAGCAGGTGGGGCTTGGCCCAGAGCACGGAGGGCAGAGTCCGCCTCCGAGGTCCAGGTCAGCCCGTGGTGCCCGCGGTGCAAGGTCAAGAAGGAGGACGCTTTCCACAGGTACTGGGGATGTGAGCACAACGCAGGTGCCGAGGCTTACGTCAAGTCGGAAGACTTTCTGCCGAAGGCGACGACCCAGCACCAGGCGGATGAGGCTTTCTGGCTGAGGGGTGTCATTCCCAAGAGATGGACCAGTCTGCCGTCACCGCCGTCAGCAGCGGCGTGGACGGGTACAGGCGCTCTGCTGAACGGCACGGAGGAGAACAGTCTGGGACCAGGAGCAGAGTATGCGCCCATCGTGATGTTCGGGGACGCTAGCGGGGGGCCCGACTCCCGTGACCCGAGGTTCCGTCGCGTTGGGTGTGGCTTGTCAGTCGTCAAGTCGGAGGCCGGCCTGGAGGAGATCGCCACGCTGCAGGGTCCGCTTGTTGGTGAGCAGACCGTGCCGCGCGGAGAGTTGACGATGCTCCTCATGGCTGCGCGTCTGACTAGCGACTTTGCAGTGTATGTGTGTGATAATAAGATGGTGTACGATGGATGGTATGCACAGCGGTACCGCCACCCGCAAGGGGACCTGGCTGAGCTCTGGGCATTCGTGGGCGTCGAGTTCCAGGAGCGGGACCCCGCCCATTTTGTGGTCCTGTTCGTGAACTCGCACCTCTCTGAGGCGGAGGCCGAGGAGAACGGCACGCCTCTGTGGCTGGTGCGGGGCAACGCGCTGGCCGACAGGTTGGCGGGCGAGGCGGCGAGCGAGGCTCGGCTGCCACAGGCGGTCAGGGCCAAGGTGCAGCAGGTGGAGCATGAGGCGTTCCTCGTGCGGATGCGCCTGCTGAGGGCGTCACTGGACGCCCTGGCCGCGGAGGAGCTCGAGAAGAAGGCGGGGCGCCAGGGGCGGATGGGTCCGCTCGGAGTTGTGAGTGAAGGAGTCGGGAGCGGTGTTTCCTCCCCCCCTCCTCCTCCTCCTCCTCCCCCTCTGCCTCCCCCTTGTCCTGAGGCCCTGTCTGTTTTTAACACCCAGCACGCGCTCGACGAATCGGGGCGTCGGTGCCGTCGGTGTCGCGGGTCCTCGTCGAGCTCCGAGTTGCGGAAGTGGCGTGCTTCCCCGTGTTTCAGGTTGATTGCTCTTGATGGGTCCCTTCGGGTTCTTCCAAGGGGGGTCGAGCTGCACCTCGCGGGGGGAGTTGTCCATGTCTCGCACAAGATGCGGTTTAATCAGGATGTTCAGGTGTGGTTTTGTGCGTCGTGTGGTATGTTCTGTGATCAGCAGCTCGTTGGGTTCGGAAGAGCCTGCCCTGATCAGGTGACGTCCACCCGAGCTGAGTATCTCGATCGAATTCAGAGAGGTTTATGGCCTAAGGTATATAGTACCAAGGAGCAGGCCAGGCGAGCACAGAAGGGGCTCCCGTGTTGATGTTAGGTGTGTGGACACTGTCCTGGGACTCTTACTCTTACTCCTCCTCCTCCTCCTCCTCCTCCTCCTCCTCCCCCTCCTCCTCCTCCTCCTCCTCCTCCTCCTCCTCCTCCTCCTCCTCCTCCCCCCCCCGCAGAGACCGAAAAACGGCAGCACCAGCAGCAGCAGCAGCACCAAAAGACCTCCGTCGTGGTGCTCTCGCCACACCACGGGGCCTCCGGGCCCCATGGGCCCCTCTGGCCATCGCGCGGCGCCGCCAGGCTCCCGCGCGCGCGTCGCGAGGAGCTCCCCCCCCCCCGACAGCCTCCGCGGTCGAAGGTCGGAGGGCCGCGCGCGGCTGGGGCACACAGCGGACACCAGGATGCGCGAGGAGAGGGCGGCCGCGGAGGAGGAGCGCGGGGCGTGCGGGTGGGGCCTCCTTCGGCGGCGAGCTCGGGGGGGGG